AAATCGTTATTTTTAGCTAGAACGACATAATTATCATTTTATATGAAAAGAAACAATATCTACATCGTTATTCTTGTAATTTGAATTGAAACGATTTCAAACTCGTCAAATTTGTGCTAAAACGAAATGAATGTCGTTACTTTATTTGTGATTTTGATACATAACGATATCGTTATCATTTCAATACAAATTTGACGACGTTGATATTGTTTTAGCTTAAATCATAACTAAAACTAAATGCATATCGTTTCAGTTAAAATAAAATGATATTTATATCATTTCTGCTAAAAATAATGATTCGACCCTCCACGACTACCAGACATGCATCTGACATATGTAGGATGATCAAAATAGGTAATCAAATGAGTTCGATCTCCCTCAAAAGAAACTATGAGAACATTTTTGTTCTCATGATTGTATACTATTTTCGAACTGGAATGAATCAACTTCATTAGCTTAGTTCGAAATCACCTTATATTGGTGGTATCAACCCACTTGATGATCTCTTTCGATAGTCCTACGTATGCTGAAGACATGACGGGTGGTTGTGGACGGTTGAATCGTTATTTTTAGTTAGAACGATATAATTGTCGTTTTATATATAAAAAAACGATATCTATATCGTTATACTTGTTATTTGAATTAGAACGATTTCAAACTCGTCAAATTTGTGCTAAAACGATATGAATGTCATTACTATCTTTGTGATTTTGATATATAACGATATCATTATCGTTTCAATACAAGTTTGACGATGCTGATATCGTTTTAGCTTAAATCATAACTAAAACTACATACATATCGTTTCAATTAAAATAAAATGACAATTATATTATTTATGCTAAAAATAACGATTCGACCGTCCACGACCACCAGACATACATCTGACATATATAGGATGATCAAAATAGATAATCAAGTGGGTTCGATCTCCCTTAAAAGAAACTATGAGAACATTTTTGTTCTTATGATTGTATACCACCTTCGAACTATTCCAACAAAAAGCATTTTCGTTCGCTCTTTTTAAGTCATTCGAGTGGTATCAATCTACTTAATGACCTTTTTCGATCATTCTACGTATGCTTAAAGCATAACAGGTGGTTGTAAACGATCGAATCTTTATATTTAGTTAGAACGATATAAATATCGTTTTATATGAAAATAAACAGTATCTATGTCATTATCATTGTGATTTGAGTTGGAATGATTTCAAACTCATTAAATTTGTACTATAACGATTTGGATGTCATTGTCTTATTTTGTAGGTTTGATACATAATGATACTATTATCGTTTTAATACAATTTTGATAACATTGATATTGCTTTAGTTTAAATTTTGACTAAAAGGATAATTATAAAAATGACGATTCGATTGTCCACAATCACCTAACATATATTTGTCGTACGTAGGATGATAAAATAAGTCACTAAGTGATTCTATCTCATTCAACAGAAAGAAAGATAGTATCTCCATTCGCTCTTTCTGAACTATTCGAGTGCTACCAATTCACTTGATGCCTTCTTTCCGTCATCATATGTCGTTCTAATTATTATTTAAACTGTAATGATTTCAAACTCATTAAATTTGAAAAGAAACGATGCATATGTCGTTCTAGTTATTATTTTGTGCCTAGGGGAAAATTTCAAAATCGTTATTAGAATAGGAGCATTTTATACTAGAACGACATCAACGACTTTATGTGTCACCGGAACGAAGTGTATATCGTTATATGAATATGCACAATGTTCACATTCTGAATATGTACAATATGTAAACTTGAAAATTATAAAAAGTCACGAAAATATGTAAATTTAAATTACATTTAATATCGTAGTTATAACGTTCTAGTGTAACCACTCCTAAAACGATATGTATGATATTATAGTTACGATTGAATATGAACGATATCATTGTTGTCGAAAATTGATTTGAAACTACATGAACATTGTTTACTTATTCCATACTGTGCACCTAAACCTGTTAAACAGTGAAGAAATATGTGTTTGATATCGAAATGACATATACATCGTTTTTTGTATTTCAGGAATGAGTTCAATGTTGTTATACAAATCAGTCAAAGCAGAGTGTATTCGATGTTGAAACGATATCGAAGTCGTTTTATATTTCAGGAATGATTTCAATATCGTTATGCAAAATAGTGAAATAGTGTCAGCAGCTCATTTCCATTCCACATTTTTATTAAGTTGATAAGTTATATTTTACGATTTCTTCAAACTGTAATATCCTGGTGCTGGCTTATTCGAATCGACTTTTTTTTAGTCGAATAGTTTTTATTAATTACAAGTTTTAAAATGAGTCCAATATCGATATACTATATCGTTTTTTATTAAAATCTAATTATTGGATTCTAAATAAGATAGAAATTTAAAAAATATTTTTTGTCCATTTTTTTTTCAAAATATAACGATAAAATTTATTTTAAAAAATTTCGTGTGTTATAATTGGTGTCTAATGAATAAATGACTCAACAATTATTTTTCAATTAGTTGCTAAGTTGTGGACAATGTTAAAACTTTGGGTGCACCAGAGATCTATTACGAAGAAGAGATGGCTTTAAACTTAAAAAGAAGAGTTCGAATTCTAACGAGAAGATAATTTTTAAGGGGAAGATTTTTTGAATTTAAAGGAAGAGAATGATGTGTGTGTTAGAACATGAATGCATAGATATTAGAGCCAACCTGATAATCGACTCAAAAAAAAACCATCGGGTCAATGGTTCAACCGGTGGGTTATTGTTAAATTTTAATTTTAATTAAATTTTATTTTTGAAGTGAAAATGAAACAATTTTTTGAAATGTAATATATATATTTTGCTCACAAAAAACAAAGGACCATTACTTGCCATAATGGTTGTGAAGTTGAAATATTTCTTGCTATCCAAGGTTCAAGTCAGGGCTCCAGCAAATTTAGGAAAAACTCCAATCTCTTCTTCATTTTTGTTTTACAAGTTAAGGGTAAAGAAGTTTTTTGACGCTTTTAAATAGTTAAAATTTCTTTTATTTTTATAATTTTGGTCAAATGCCAATTGAACAAAATGTACATTAGGGGTGGCCTTCCCAACTCATTTTCCCTATATCCATTTATGTCCATACGTTTTCAGTGTGTGTATTGTAAAAGAGAGAGAACGATACAAGAGAGGTTGAGAAGAGGCTGCCGGTTTTCTTCCTTCGTAGATTGCAAATATCACCACCATTGCGTTTCCTTCGTGGGGTGTAAACCTTGTGACAACCAAGTGGGTTTGTTTTGGATTGAGCTTGGTTTCATTGGTGTTCGTTTGGTGTGTTGAGCCAAGGATCAAGATTTTTCAAGGAGTTTTCGCAACAATTTCAAATCATCAACTAAGTTGTAGGATAACATCAAACCAAAAATTTAATAAGCTTAAAAATTTTTAATTCACTAACAAACTAGCAATTTCAGTAAAATAGCACGATTTTTGGCTTTATACTTCCCTGTCTTATAAGCAGGGGTGGACACAATGGGGGGTGTTGAGGCTTTTTTTTTTTTTTTTTTTCAATAAAAGCCCTGATTGATATGAATTAAAATTAAAATTTTATTATAAATCAAAATTAACAATTAATTTTAATAACATATTTCATGGGATTCATAAATTTTCAATTTTTTTTATCAAAATTTACTAAAAATTTGATTTTAATCTCCATGAAACAAGGACAAAATCTCAATTGATTTAAACCTTTTTCATTTTTTCTTGCACAAGTCTTCTAATTTTTTAAAATTTGTATATAATTTCTTTACAAATTATAACATTTACTTCACGTCCTAATCATATTTTGAACCTAAATTCACATTTTCTCCTATCACATTGTGTATATAGAATGAGTCTTAAATGATTATATCCAATTTGACTTATATTTAACAAATTGTGTTTATTTGATTCAATATTAGTAGTGAATATTGGTTATAAATTTTTTCTTTTTATTACTTGAATTGATTGTTTGTATCAAATACACTATAAAATCTTTAAACGTAAATGTGCATTTTTTTGTGGTAAACAAAATATTAATAAAAGGATTGTTCGAAATTAAATGGATGAAAATGATGAACAAAATATTAATGAAGGAATGTGTTTTTAAACTTAATATTGCGTTTTCTTGAGTCAAGTATAAATTATTTAAAAATCAAGAACAAAGTATTTGATCTATATAAGATTGATTTTGCTCCCTAACTCAAAGAGTCTGCGTCTGCGTCTGCCCCTGCTTATATGGAATCAAATCTTCAAAAACAATGCATTAATTCAAGTGCAATCGATAGTCTAGCCAACTAGAAGTAAGAAATCTTGTATTAAACGTGCAGCATTCATGCTGAGAGGTGATTTTGAAGGAAGTGATGTAAGAAACAGAATTGAGAGTTTATTTCTTAACTCGTTTTCTGTAAACGAAAACAGAGAAGATGAACACGACATACATACGCACATAACATCTGTATCATCTAGACCTTGAAGAGTTGAGTTATGTTGTAAGTAGGGGTCAAATTGATTGCAGAGTAAGTCAAATAGGAGGCAGTGTTAAACCTAAACTTTTGAGCAATTCAGATTTTGTTATTGCTTGATGAGTCTCTGTGTCCCCCTGATTCTCATTTGGAAGGGAGAAAAGGGGAAGGAAAATGTTGCTAGTTGCATTGAAGGATGATTCACGGACTCAAGCATACGTTATATTTAGCAAGTTATGATAATGATGTTCTATTCTATATACGGACTGCTTTGAGGTTTCTACTACAAGAGAACCATGAACAGCCTCAGTCCGCCCAACTCTTCAGTTTCAAGAACAGTGATTCAAGAATGAATGGTTGCCCTTGTCATACTCCAGGTAGAATATGCAATGTGTTTCAAGTCCAAGTAATTCAGTAGCCTGAAGAATCTTTTCGTCTAAATCAGTATTCACTATTCAGAAAAATGAACATGGAGTACTAAGCTTCCACTGGGTTTTAGTCTTTTAGATCATTTGTAGTTCCATGCCAGTATAGATTTAAATAGACCAACTCTTAAAGTAATTTGATAGAACAACACTTCTTCAGGATATATTTTCATCTGCACCAATCATTTAACAACCATACAAGAAGCTTGCTCTCTATAATTTGGCCATCTCTATTTACAATAACATCAAGAGGGGGTAATTACAGATTATGGCAATTTGTGAAAATGGAACTTGGCCTACCTCACAATTAATTCCCATCTTGTATGCAGCAGCAGAGAAAGAAGCACCTCTCAAATTACATATCATCATTGCAATTCAGCCAAATCATAGCTTATAATTCATGGGCAAATCTTCTGCTGCATAATAGGCATGGTGGGGAAATTTTGGATGATTCCTCTGCACATGGATATCTTGGGATCAGGACTCTTTGGCACGTTTGGGACTTCTACAGAATGGTTCTCGCAGGGGATCTAACAGGTACTTGAGATTTAAATTGAGGTATTTCAAGCCCGGGATCAAGTGTATTTCTCATGGTCGGCCTCAATGGAAATATCAAGTGGTCGCCATAATTACTGCTACTTTGACCCACAAAAGGATATGAAGAGGGTGGAGGAGAAATGAAACAGCTTTTGTGTGCTGGTCCATAATGTCGTAATGGGCTTGAGGAGGGAGATACAGGCAATGATGCTATAGTACTCGCACTTTCTCTGTATACCCAAAACAAGAAAGCAACAGTTTCTTTACAGTTCTACTTAGTTTAGCAAGATAAATAAGATGGATAATAATGTATCAGACAGAAAACTCCAGGTATTTTCTCAGTACCTTGGGCTTAAAAATGTCCGGGGTACAGACAATCTTGATGCATCATCTCGATCAAAAGAAAAGTTATTCAATCTGCTGGACTGCATCTCCAGAGCAGTCTGCCATGATATATATAAAATGAGTAAATTATGCACAAGGTGGACAGCTTATCAGCTATGATTAAATGAATCACAGCATTCAAGTTGTCGTTGGCACAATGGAAAATCATTGATGAGATATTTATTGCAAACCATGAAGATCTGAACAAAATCACTTATAAATATATCTCTAATCACAGGTGTAGCCAATATCTTCAAAATCGCGTCTTCGAAGAGAGAAGGATTTTTGGACAAACTTGTCAAGGAAATATTTGGGGAGAGATTCACACAAGCATGTGTAAGTATAATATGAAGAAAACATGTCCTAATGAAAGTTATGCGTTTCAGGTTTTAGAAAAGAAAAAAAAAGAAAGAAAAAAAAAAAAAGAAAGAAAAGAAAAACTTAAAAGCCATATAATGTTCACTACCTATTCTAGCATTCTGATTGCTCCGTGTGTTAAAATCTGATAAACAGACAGAAAGACCATGTAATAGTTAAAACTAAAAGGATAAAGTTGATTGATTAATTGATTAAACTGGAAAACTAGATAAACTACACCAGAAGAATTCAACAATGGCACGAGGCATGCAATACTATGACAAATAGATGTGGTAAAAGTCTGATTTGCAGGGCTAGAATATACATTTCATTAGTCAGGAAGGATACAGAGACATGCTAATATTTCCTGGTTATAGCCAAGCTAAAAAAGAAATGTAAAACATCTTCCCATATTCATCTAATAGTTTCCTTTGATAATGTTAATGTAAGAATAAGTATAATAACTAATACGATAAAAGAATTGTCAACTAAGAATAGTGAATCGTTGCATCCAAAATTAACTTTTTCTCTGAAATAATAAGATGATTACAAAGTGTTGAAGAAATTTACCGGAGTGCGGCTCCCATCAAAGGCACGAGGAAATGCTTCTCTGGTTATATTGGCACTGGTGGCTTTTATTGTAGTTTGATTTCTAACAAAAGGATGACCCAGTAGTTGTGAAGCTGTGGGCCTTGCAGATGGTTCCCTCTGCAAGCATAGCCTTATGAAACTTTTTGCATCATTAGATAGGTGATCTGGAATCTCTGGCATATCCTTGCTGTTTCCAATTTTAAATATTGCAGCAACCTGGTAATTAGGGAATAAAAAAAAAAAAGTAAAAAATATCAATATCTGAATCTTAAATGCTTGCATCAATGTAGTAGTATAAATTTAAATGTCTAACCCCTTCATATTGACTCCATGGTGGTTTTGACGTAGCCATTTCGAGAATTGTGCAACCTAAGCTCCAGATATCCACCGCAAGGCTGTAACCATTTGTATTCATCACAACCTGAGATTAAAGCAACCATGTAACAATAATTTATTTGGAAGATCTGCCCACATAATTATAAGAAAGTGTATGCGTGCACACGTGCAAGTGTTGTTCTAATATCTATTGGTGTGGGCATGGGTGTTTAAGGAACATACTATCATCATATACACAATGTATGTCTGAGAGAGAGAGAGAGAGAGAGAGAGAGAGAGAGACCTCCGGTGCCATCCAATAAGGACTTCCTTTGAAAGATAGCATTGAATAACAGGATGTTATCTGGTAAATGGAAATTTGCAAATTTCGGAGTTAGTATTATGGTTGCCAGAAAACAAACATTATTTGCTTAAAAAATATTCCAAAAAGAATACTTTTACAACTGTGTTTTCTCAAAGATTTTTTCCTTTTGGTGTCATGATTTTGTCAGGTTTCAACCAGTGCATAATAGCAAAAAATTTTGAGCTTTATCCTTTCGGCCCTTATTTTGGACAGACATCAAAGTAAAATGTGATTTCACTTGCTGTGTAATGTTGACTGCAGTCTTCAAATGAATTTTGTTCAATATATTTCTACTGATAATCATTAAAAATAGATTCACCCAAGCATCAAGAGATATTTCCAGGCAACTTCAAGGTTTTCACTAGTTTTCGACTTGCTCAATGATGTCAAAGGAATACTTTTGAAGTTAGCAAGACCAAATACCCATCTGACATTACAAAAAGATTATACATACATGTTTTGCCATGCCAAAATCAGCAAGTTTGATTTCACCATTGGGATCTACCAATATGTTTGCTCCTTTGATATCTCTGCAATGAAGTGATAAAAAAATCAAGAGTGGTGGAGTTTCACAACTCACAAGATGAAATAAGCGGCCATTACAAAAGTAACAAATTCGAACCTGTGGACTGTATTTCTTCCATGCAAGTAAGCGAGTCCTGAGAGAATCTGTCTAGTATAATTTTGTATTACAGGCTCCCCAAAGGGCCCATATTCTTGCAGTAATTTGTGAATGGAACCTCCAGAAACGTACTCCAAATAAACTGACAATGTTTCTTCGCTCTGGAAAATGAGTAAACAAGAGTTAAAAGGGGACGAAGTTTATAGCCATTGACTCAACAGTTCGTCAGTCAAACTAGGATCACAACAGAAAAGCATGCACGTCTAGATAACATGAAGGTAACCCGTACCAAGTCACTTCCATAGTACTGAACAATGTTCACATGTGAAAGCTGACTAAGCAAGGTAATCTCCTGTTCAATAGCCAAATATGTTATAGATACTATGGATCACAAGGTATGAAACCTAATTGTGTGTAAACAAAGGAAAAATGCAGTATAGAAAAAGGATTCTGGACCTGATTCAACTGCTTCAGACATTCTTTTGATGACTGATCATCAGAAACAACCCTGACTTCCTTTATTGCACACATTTGTCCATTTTCACTATCAATTGAGACAATCAATTAATTTATCACAATATAACTAACAAAAAAAGATCACAAGATTGATCTAAAACTATTTTTTTTTTTTCTGTATCAGGGTTGCATGACAAAGCTTTGCAGCCAAACAGGCCATAAATTCTACTAATGCCAGAACAAAACTCGTTTATCGAAATTCACAAAATTTTCATATTCGGTACAATTTTTAGCATTATACAACATGCCGTGGACGCCTCATTACCAGTTAAATCCAAGGTAAACATGACCAAAGGTGCCTCTTCCTAGAAGCCTCCCTTTCCTCCATTTTGAAGAAATAATACATGAGCTCTCAGCTCTCCCAGGACTTCTTGGCATTGGCAAGGCAGAAGGGCTGGTTGGGGAGCCAGGTGGAAGGGGCAGCCTATGAAATTCACTTTTTCCATCTTCCATTTTCCCGGTTGGGGAATCCAAGCTAAATCGTGGATGGAGAGTGGAGGTGGTAGTGGAAATTCCCCTCAATCCTCGACCTGGGCTCCGCATCTGTGGACTCAATCTGTTCTCTCCATTTCCTCTGCAACAAAATATGAAATTTACATCCATAAGACTAATCAAAGTTGTGCCACAGAAGCACAATTGACACAACTACTAGTAACTTATCAGTGCCTCTCACATATTTGATGACCCTTTAGAAAGAGAGAGAGAGAGAGAGAGAGAGAGAGAGAGAGAGAGAGAGAGAGAGAGAGAGAGACACCAAGCCATTTAGTCAAAGTTAGAAAACAATAAAAAAGTGATTTGTAACTTCTTTTTACCTAAATGAGAGCTGATGTCTGTCACCTGCTTACCATTAATATATGCATTATGTTCATAATGTACAGATATAACCTTCAATCACCTTTTTAATTTCAAATCCAACGTGTAAACAATTGAATTACAGAATGTAAGATGAACAATTCGACAGAGGAAATACTAAAAGGGAGCAAGAGAAAACCCTAAAGAAAAACTTACTCTAATTCCCATTAAAAGTATAATCCAATTTTCATTTGAAATATTATGGAACGGAAGGAACAAAATAATTGCTTAACTAATCAAATTAAATCTCAATTAACAAAAAACAAAGTCAATTTCAAGAAAGAACAAAGCAAAACATTCATTCCAGAGGAAAGCACTATTTTCTGGGATAAGAGTCATCGAAATTACAGCCAAGATATTGCACACAAACAATTGATCAATCAATTAATCTGCAGCAGCCATAATAAATAAAATGCACCAAAATGGCAACCAATAATCCCATAATTGCAGCACTAAAAGCCCAAAAAAACCGGATCTTTATTAACAAAGAAAAAATGAAGACCAACCATAAAGTCTTTTTTGAAAATCGAACCAACCTGAAAGCAACTTGATCAAAAACAACATGGGCATGATCATCGGTTGACCCGGATGAGTCGACACTGGAAACAGAACCCGAGCCAGATCGTACCCCAATTCCGTGTATCTGAACATGATCAGTTGATGATTCACGAGGCCTTGGCAGGGGGTGCCCTGTACCTAAAGAAGATGCTGAACCAAATCCCGAGGACCCTCCTTCTTCTCTTCCTATAGCAGCATAATCTCTGCTATTTCTTGGCGAAATTTTCGATTGTTTCGGTCGCAAAACAATTCCAGAAACCTCATCAAAGCTCTTGGCTTTATTGTCTTTATTTTCTTTCCCTGTCTTCTTTCCATTCTCGATTGCCGAATTTCTCGGAGAATTACCATTCTCGCTTACCGAATCTTTGCTTCTGCTAGATCTTTTCCTCCACCAAGCTGGCATCTTTTTCAAGTATCTCTAAATTAAATTTCTTCGTATATAGGAATTATATCAAAGAGAGGGGCAAGACTGGAATTACGGTTTCTGGATTGTATATATGTGAAGAGGACAAGTTGAAGAAGAAAAGACCCGATATTTTGAAGGAAGGTATCGATGAGCATATTTCATTTTCAGTAAAGAGAGTGGGGGCCATGGAAAATGCCAACGGGTGTAGGGAACGGTGAGAAACAGCTAATGTATTTGGCGGAGGCGGTGGTTGGATTAAACCAGCTGAATGACGTGGATTTTCTTTCCCTTCCATACGGGATACCCTGGCGTGGGTGTCAGTGTCAGTGTTTGTGACTAGTGTCAGGTATATGCATGAATCTCCTCACCGTCATCGAGCAAGATAGATATTTAAAACGTGTTGGACTGCTCGATTCGTGGAAAACATAGTTCAAGAAAGGTTATTAAGCCCAATAATTAAAATTAAATATTAGTGAATTTTGATCAAAATTATGACTGACAAGTCTTGAATTTTATAAAATATATAATTAAAATTATTTATTGATTTTCACTTATATTAAAATCTAGATTTTAATTCCTCTCAAATAGAAATTTAGCCTAATTCTCTTATATTTATTTAAGACTTATAACTTTCATCAAATTTTCAAATTTTCAATTGCATGTTTCATTAATTTTTATCGAAAATTATTTGAAAGGTATTTTTATCTAAACTAAACAGGAGCTTATTAGTAGTGGTGATCATCAGTTTATGTGACAATATGATTATTATCAAAAATTCATTTTTTAAAATATAATTTAAATTATAAATTCTACGGGATTCACAACTTATATTAATTTTTCAATCACATGCTTCATCAATTTTTATAAAAATATATTTTTTTTAGCTAAAACAAACATTGGCTTATCGGTATTGTTGATGCTCATCACGCTACGTGACAATGTGATTATTGCCATATTGTTTAATGAAATTGAAATGTATTAGTATTTATTAGACAAGATGATAGTGATCTTACTATCATATAGTCGATTGATCATGAGCAGTGTCGATGAATATCATTGTCGAGTTCTATGCATTCATATATATCACCAAATAAGCGAGTTAATATTGCTATAAAAAAATGTGTTAAAACCTGAACAACTTTAAGTTATTGAACTTACAGTGATTATCAAGTTCATTTTCTTTTCAAATTTATTTTGAATAACAGATTTCATGAGACTTGCAATTTCTATTAACTTTTCAACAATATATTTTATCAACTTTTATTAAAATTTACTAAAATTCTAATTTTTATCTACTGAAACAGAGGAAATGTAATTTCAAAGTCAGGTAACATGTCCAACAACGAAAGTTACACTCTCTACTAACACAATAGGGAATAATTAGATCCTTTAAAAAGTCGAGTTTTGTACGCACCTCTCTCGTTTAGCTTTCGTTTGGCAGTCAATTATAAATGATTTATAAATACAATAAAAATCAAACATTAATTTTAGTCATACACTAATAATTACTATTTATTTATGCCCTGTTTGAGCCCCATTAATTTGCAAAAATGTATTATGAAATAGTAATTGATGGAGAATTTGTGGTCAAAAAAGAAAAAAAAGATTTCGATATTCGTGTAATATTATTTTCATGAAAAAATATGTGGTTAAAAATGAATATAGTAGAAAAATTAATAGAAAAGAATGTAAAGTAAAGGAAGACAAACAGTGCTTTATTATTATCACGTTACGTGAAGTTCACTACTATTTATTTTTACAAATCATGTGTGTGTCAAACAAATGCTTAAAATTGTGTGTAACAAATATGTTATGTGAATTTAACTTTTATTTCATGTTTGACCTTTATTTTTCTTGAAATTTATTTTGAATCGCACATATCATGTGATCAACCACTTTTATCAATTTTTAACAATGTATTTCATAATTTTTTATCAAATTTTAATGAAAATATGATTTCGGCTGAGACAAACTATAGCTTAATAAAATCATAATAAGTCATTTCATTATTAGGGTAATTATATATTCGTGTTGTAAGTACAAGAGTGATGAATGACTACACTGTGTGTAAAGAAGGAGGGCTTCACATAAGCCCTTTAGAATACACACAAATATGTGGAGCCCAATTTTTTTTGGCAATATTTAATTTAGGGAAAATTTCATAATACCTACATTAACTATGCTATATTTTGGTTTTAAGATGAAAAGTTTTTAATTTCAAAACAGAGAGAGAGAGAGAGAGAGAGAGAGAGAGAGGGGATTTTGTTGCAATTAAATCCCTAAAATTAAGAATCCAGTTTCCATACTTGAACAAACTCCTTAAAATACATATTTACATTCCAAACCCACACAATTATTCACGCAACAGAGGACAATTATTCACGATTGAGGAAAAAATTGCAGATTTAATGATTGAACTGGTATCCAATTTATTCGATTTTGTCATACATTAAGGTCACATATCTATACATTTGGTCACAAATTCATATTTTAATTAATCATATATTATTTTTCGGTTAGAAATCATAATTTTTAAATATTACAAATTATTTTAGGGTCACAATTAAAAAAATTTATAGGTCACAATTTGTTCATCGGTCACAGATCGAAAATTAATACGTCGCAATTTATGTATTGGTCACAGTCATTAGACGGTCACAAATTGATATTTTTTTAGGTCACATTGGTCACAATTTATCTTGTTCATCGGTCTCTATTGGTCATAGATTAATTAATTTAATGATCGTAATCAGGCAAATAATCTTTGACCATGTGACCACCACCAACACTTGTGACAACCTCTGCCTACAACAGCACCGCCACCAAAACCGCCACCGTCACCCCGACTGCAACATCGTCGTGAGTAAAACCACTACAGCAACCACAACACCACCGGCCATCCCACACTATTGGAACCACCACCACATTAATAGGAACCACAAAAAAAAAAAAAAAAAAAATCCAGATTGGGTCACCCATGCCATCCTACACACAAACCACCATCCACAACCACCATTGTCCTCCTCCCTATTCTCCTCCAGCCCAATGTTAGAACCAAAACCAGAACTCATCCGCCCAATGCTACCACCAGCGCATTACAGATCCAAAAAAATTAATCCAAAATTAGAGATCCAATATCATCGGTTGACACCCACAAATCCACCACACCGACGACAGATCCACAACCATAGAAATCGGTGGCAGAGACAGATCATGGATACTCGAGCAAGATGCGCACTGTAGCCGCTGGTGAAGATGAGGCCACAGATCACTGCGCTATCGTCTGGAAAAGACGGTACAACCTGGGGATGAAGCTGCTGGTGAAATTGAATTTGGGTGGGGAGAGTGAAAATAGAAGTATCACCTCCTAAACCTTTCTTGAGCTGCCACATAGAGAGCGAGAGAGAGAGAGAGGAGGTGGGGAGAGTTTGAGGAGAGAGAAGGAGATGGATTATAATTGATAAAAGAGATAAGGAGATGGAGAGAGAGAAAATTGATTATAATTGATAGAGAGAGAAGACAATTTGAAATGAAATTCGAGTATAATTGGTATTTAATTTAAAGATGAAAATCTAATTTTTAAACTATTAAACTACTCATATAAATTTTGAACCCTAGTTTTTAACCCTAGGATTGTGAGCATTTGTATGACTTCTGTACAAATATTTTACGTACAAATGATTTTTTCCATATATAGAGGCCTTATTTATTGGCACTTGGCAGTGAAAGAAATTCAATTAGCAATTATTGTTGTTGCAGGCTAAAAAGCGAATGTAGAGAAAAATCTACTTCGATGATTGCGCTATGCCAGGCAAAACGTGCCACCCATGTCCTTTTCTAACCTTATATTTATAGAAACAATGTTACGTGTAAGACGTAGATTCACTCTATATATATATTATTATTTTATAGATTAATGTTATGTAATTTTATTGAAATTACAATTTCAATCTAGATAGTGCTCTAGATATAAATTAAATGAAAGGTGAAATTAATTGAATCATATTATTTCATTTATCATTTAATGTTACATTAGTATCATCTAAATTGGAATTACAACCCCATTAGAGTTACATAATAATACTTTCACATCCACAATTCGATAAATAGTGATTAATGCAAATTGGTTTAGTGAAAATTTTTACATTGTTAGTCTATTTGATATAAATACAGCAAAGTCCAATACTGCCGAGAAAATTAAATGAAATACTCCGAATATGAAGTATGAAAAGGTGTCTATAAATTTACCCTAGTACCAACCCTCCAACCTAGAGTAGCTAGATGGGGAAGTAGCTCCTCATCCTACCTATTTCTTTATTTTAAAACAGCATTTCGCTTTGCTATGCCCTCTTTTGCTAGACTGGCTAATCTTTCTATCATTTTTGTCCAATCCTATTGTCATAAAGATCGAAGGAGGGAGCTTTGCAAGTTGTACCAAGAGAGAGATGGGCAATTCCTCCCACTCATTGATCTAACTCTAGTTCGACATATTTAATAAGGGCCGATTCAAATTAATTATTAACAAACATTTAGGGAGTAGAATTGCTACACCCATACCAACAATAAGAATGTAGAGAGTGGTATAACATTCTTTCGATCCTATTTGATAAGGATTAAAATCAGACATTTAAGTATATTTTAATAAAAATATGTGATTAAAAAATTATTCATCTCATGAAATATTTTATTAAAATTAATTGATAACTATAACTTTAATAAAAAATTAAATTTTTATTCCTATCACACGGGGCTTAATGTCAAAAGGATTCATGGTTTGGCATTCTGTGGTGTAATGGTTTAAGTTTCGGCGGTTGGGTAGGTATCAATACCATTCACCAGCTAACCTAATTCCTCATCTACTTTTCATATATATATATATATATATATTTTTCGTTTATGGGTGGGATGAGGTGACGGCAGTCGAGGGGAGCGGGCCTAAGGCACCAGGCATCCTACTATTTGTTTTTTATTAGCCACTAGTGATATGTAGGTCCCGTTTGACCCGCATTTTTTGAAAAAATATATTTCTAAATAGTAATTTGACATCATTTTAATCACACAATTCGTGAGATTCATTATTATTCATCTTTGTAAATGTATTTATAAATTGTCAAATGAAGGCTAAATTAAGAGTCTGTTTGACAATTATTATTGTAAGAAAAATGAGTTTTGAATATTGATTTTTAGGATAAGATATAATTCAAAAGTATGGAAAAAGTTATGAGAGAATGTGTAAAATATTTTATAAGTGAATGTGTGGTTAAAAATGATTTTATATATAGTAAATCATAAAATAAATTAAAGCGGGTCAAATAGGGAAATGGCATGGTCTAATCATTTAATAAAAATGGATATACTAACATGTTTATGATTCCGACAAATGAGATCTAAAAATAACATTATTAATAGCACACGAGAATTCGACTTTTTGAAGTTTTGAACAACAAAAAGTATTATGAGCAGAGCATGTGGAAAATCAAGACTCATAATGCATGGTCATAGAGTAGTCATTTTCGGGAGTTGCCAAATTTGTTTATAGATGAAGAACATAGAACAGTCTTTTTTGGGAGTTGCCAAATATGTTCATATGACGAGAAAACATGACTGACTCCTCTGGCACCTAGTCAAAATCCTTCCATTTTTAAACAAGTTACAGTCGAAGCCGTCGCTGGCAAACAAGCGGCCAAATATATAAAATTATTTGAAATTATACCAATTATCGGTATATTAAAAATACAAATCATGCTACTTAAACAGGACAACTTCAACCCTGTTCAAACTAGGACGGCCCCCCATTGGCAAGGAATCTGTTGGTGCCATCCTGGACCCCTTGCCAATAGCGGGGCGTCAAGCTTGAAAAGGGCTGACTAGCTGAGGTGAATAATCCTAAAAAATACAAGTGTGAGTGCATTATATCATATAGCAGATAAACAAAAACATTCATACAAATCGAAATAAAGCACTGCAACAAAATTAAATTATATTGGCATATCCTGGTTGTATAGATCAACACATATATAAATAGACATATCGAAATCCTTTTCCTATACTTATTGAAAGACCTAAAACGAACTATTATGTAATGATTATAATTGAATTAAGCCCCCTATTTGATGGCCATTGTTTGGCTAAAACAATGCTTTGAATAGTGAGTTTTAGTGAGCCAATCGGGGTATTGGACTTCCTTTATGAACCTCGCTCTTTCTAGTTTACCGACCTCTTCTTGAATGACCACTCGTCTTTCAAGCGCAAACTGCCTCTTCCTTTACTTAACACGTCTGGCCCCTAGGCTTATGTTGAGTCTATGGACTACTAATTTTGGGTCTATCCCTAGTATATCCTCGACCTTCCATTAAAAAAATCAATGTTGCGAGACAAACAATTGATGATTTTTTCCCGGAGGGTAGCCTTGAGATCTCGACCAATTGTTACCCTTTTTCCATGCTCGAGCTCGACCACCTCCAATTCCTCCATCGGGGCAAATCTACCTCTAGGCTTGAGCTCGAGGTCTGAAAGTTGCATGACGTCTGTTCTTATTCCTCGGATGCTAGTAACATAGCATTGTCTAGCAGCTGCTTGGTCTTTTCAAACTATTTCGATACCATGACCTGGGAACTTCATGGCTAAGTGAAAAGTTGATACAATGGCTTGGATCTTGTACAGTAGGGGTCTTCCCAAGATGATTTTGTAAGCCATAGGAGTGTTAACCACTTGGAAGGGTGTGATCTCCATCACTTGTGCATTGTCAGAACCCAATGTAAGGGAAGCTCGACGATACCTTCCAGGATAATGATTCCACCACCAAATCCCTGTAAAGGAGTTTTGACTGCTTTGAGCTTGTTGACATCCAAACTTCGATCTGGTAAAAACAGTTCGCTAACCCCACCTCAGTTAAAAGTGAGTTCGGTTCACACTCTCAGGTCGGAGTTACCCGTCGTTATCTCAGAAAAACACCACGATTACCCCTTATCACATCACCCTCTCAATCGGAGACACTTGCCACAGGTGATGTCATCGTCGCCCGGAATAGCCAATTTCAAGTCCTCGAATTCCAGCCCCCTACGGGTCATCATTACTTTGGCACATGACCACCGGCCTTGTTGACGAATCATTGGAGAATTCGACGACCCGAGTTGCAAGCTCGACACTGTTGCTGATTTGATGTAATTTCGGCTGAAATATATATAAATAGTAGAATAGGACCCTTGTAAAAGGACAACAAATTAAGATGACGACTATGGCCTGATCACATCTTTGCAATCTTTTCTAAACACAAATCGCCTTTTTCTTAAAGTTGGTTCAAAATTATCCTTGCTAATTTTTACATCAACAGAGCTGTTTGGGACAGATCCCCATTTTAGCGAAAGCCTCCTATGAGAATATATTTGATGCACTCCCATTATCAATCAGAATCCTCTTTACTTCAAAGTTAGCAACAATTGCAGAGACGACCAAAGCATTGTCATGAGGATATGATACTTCTTCCAAATCTCTTACCCCAAAAGTAATGTCTGAGAGTTTATCATGGGATTCCCTTGAGGTATGAGCATGTTGGCGGGCATATTGCTTTCACCCACTATTTGTGTTTCCTCCAGATACCATGTCTCCAATGATAATATTAATGGTCCCAGCAGTGGGTTGAGCACTGCTTCCGGCTCCATGCTCTTTCCAATTGTAACAGTCATTTCTTGGGCGTTTATCATGACCAATGTAATTTCTTAAGAGCCTTCTTTTGATGAGAGCTTCAATTTCCCGCTGCAAGGCTTGGCAATCCTTCGTGGTATGCCCATGATCTCGATGAAATTCACAATACTTGCTCCTATCTCTTGGGTCAGGGGGCAACTTCATTCTTGAAGGCCACTTCAACTCTTTCATATCTTTGATCTCCATTAAGATATTTGCCTTGGAGGTGTTCAACCAGGTGAGAGGCCCTGGTCGCCCTTCATTCTTCCGCGTGTCCCGAGGATGCTCTGGCCGGGAAACAGGATCATGTTGCTTCTTGTTCTCGACCTTTTCATGGGAAGGACCAGATCTCCTTGGATTCAGCATTTCCTCCGTATTAATGTATTTTTCAGCTCGGGTGAGGAGTTTGGTCACTGTCTGTAGCGGGGTCTTTGATAAGGATATCTTGAAGGCTTCATACTTTATGGCATATGTAAGGGCGGAGACAACCGCCGTAATGTGAAGGTAAGATATTTGAAGTCTTTCCTTGTTAAACTTCGTCATAAATCCTTGTAGGGTTTCATTTGTTCCCTGGCAAAGTTGCATGAGAGAGGCCGCAGTCTTTCTGATACGCTTGCTACTTGAAAAGAAGGCTGAGAACTTATCAGCCAAATCTAAGAATGAGGCTATGGAGTTGGGCTCCAATGTCGAGAACCAGTCCCTAGCAGCATTAGTCAACATTTGTAGGAAGGCTTTGCACAAAACTTGATCCGACGCAACTTGCAAATTCATGACATCGGTATATACATTGAGATGGTTGATTGGGTCGATCGTCCCATCATACTCTTTAATGCGAGGATATTTGAATCTGTTGGGCAGGGGATAAGACAATTTCTCTGGTGTAAATGTAGTGTTAGGGGTAAAACTCGTTGGCCCCCGAGCATTTCATTGCAGGCCAGCTGTAATTCCTTCTTGAATGATACGAGCAATCTCTCTGGAATCCATAGCAAGTGATCTCGAGCCCGAGGCCATGTTACGAGTACCCGAGGTCCCTACTCCACCAATTACGGGGTTTGGTGCTCGAACTTGTGCATCAATCATAAAACCACCATGCTTTGCCTGCACCGGATGTGAATTTCTTTTACTTAACGGCTGCATTAGCGTGACCACCTGCTGACGGAGCTCTTCGAAGGCTTCAGTTGTGACGACCGTCGACTGGGGTGCAGGCACTCTTGACGACTCTTCTTGAGGAGTCGGTTGATCTTCAGTAGGATGAGGGATGAGAGCGGATGAGCTTGCGGGAGGAGGACCTGATCGCGTGTTAACCATATGTTTTGGTAGCGGTTCCCACAGACGGGGCCAATGATGCTACCAAAAATTGTACCTGTTGATTTCCCGAGCTTGAGGACTTCGAATGAGCACGATCGTAGTCTTCCAGTTCCTAAAACAAAGGCAACAAGGTATCTTCTCGTCGTCCCTTCGATGCTTAAGTTAGAAAGGGAATTATATGCGTCAGATTATAAACTGGAAAATAATGAAAACGTACCTGAACCATGACCCATGGTCCTATATTTATAGTAGCAGGTGACATTCTCCTAGTGGGACTCAACTAGTTGAGTATCTCTATCCAATGAAGTCCTATTAGGTGAAGGAGTTGGACCAATGTCATAATTATGTTTGGGATAGAATCCTTATGGAAGTCAAGCATTGAAGTAATATGGTAGGATTAGAGTCCCAACTACATAGGAATCCTATTGGGTCAGTAATAACAATCGTGGGATGCGAGGAGAATATATCCCGAGACCACTCTTGCTCGAGGACAGGATCATGGAAATGATGATACAGCAAGGCCGCAAGTGCTCGAGCATTATATCCTGAGGAGGGTAATGCTTGAGCAGTACAGATGTGGAAACGTAAAGGTTTCTGAAAAATGTCCTCGGGATAAAATGTTCGAGTATAACCAAAACTTGCCATATCACAGAGTAACATGTTTCTTCTTCTCAATCGTCTTGGAGTACTATCCTTACATTTATTTATTTATTTATTTTATTTTTTATTGGGGATGGATACCAAGCTCATTTAATATTTATTGAAAATGTATATCATGCCCATTGATAACTTACAAACAATTATATAAGAATAAATTAACATGATGAAAACATTCTAACTACCTAGATATAGTGACATTAGCAAATATATATGAATTAATTTTTTAAATAAATGTTCTAATTTTAATAACCTCTGCTAATTAATAAATTATTGTACAATTGATCGGATTAATATAGAGGTGCACTTTACAACTTACTCCTTTAACGCCACCTACCATCATCCTAAATTGTTATTTCCATTCAATTAGTATTTTATAATATTGTATAATTATACGATCAACATAGTATGGTAAAATGATGAAATAATATAAAATCTTATTATTACGAACTGACATTGCAAAATTTCAATTTTAAATTTTTACTAAAAATTAAAAATTTTGTTAGTTGTACAATTGAGATTGACAATCTTTTACAAGAAGGGGCCCACAATTTATTTATTTATCGTGGGGTCCCCTCCCATGTTAGTAGTTATCAATCGAAGTTGTCAACTCCGATTATACAACTAGCATGGTCCAAATTTTTTTCAAGAAATCTTAATTTTTGTGATGACATTCCATCATAATAAAGAACTCCCACAAAATGGTTTCAAAGGGACTCGTCCAATATTGCTCATCTAATCTGTGACAAATATATAACATTGATAATCCACTATTCATGGGAATTGGAACATTTCCAATAACATCAAATTGATTTTTGTAACCATGGTCAGTCGTACTCCACTCATTAGATTCATGAAGAAAATTTTTGGCCAGAAGCCCAATAACAGTTACGATATATGGACGGCGCAAAATCTTTGAACTACTTCGATGTGTGACCCTCCTCTGCAGCAGTTTCAATGTTCAAAGGTCTCACTATCGTCAAGTTCAGCAACCTCATCCTCCATGTTTCAGTTCCAAAGTAGCACCAGCAACAGGCTCCTGCTTCTGGAACTGCTCTGCCAATTTCTTCAGATTCTCCAAGTTATCTGGACCTGAATTTTTCAGGTTAAAACATTCAATTATTTGAAGTCATAGCAGAAACCAAAAAACCAAATACTACAAGAAACAGGAAATGATGCATACCCAACTGGTGAATAATTTGAGGAAGAATGTCTTGCAACTCTGCAATAACATCACGTGAAGGTCAGGATTAACAGAGTATTAAAACAACGGAAAAGGACAAGCAATGAAGCTACTCTCCTTTTCTTTTACCGATAACGGAGAAATACAGACAAGAAAGATCTTAATAAACAAACTAAATCACAGACCAAAACCCAGTTTTGAAGTCTAGAATAAAAATGTATAAACATTCAAATCACCATTAGATGAAAGATTAAAAAGAAACCATTATAACTTTTCAAGAAAAAAAGAGTAACATACTTTTGTTCTGAGGAGTGCCACTAATCACCCAAGTGTTGGCAGCAATAGAAGCTTGAACTAAATAACAAAGAAAAACAACAGTTAGCGCCAACCTAAAAGACAAAACACGGATTCAGTTTAAAATATGTGTCCCTTTAGGGTTAACGAACTGGATAGCTACATCCTTCTTGAAAATATTGACCTCCTCAATTGCAGGTATTGCATTCACACCTATTCTCTTCAGGGTGCTTTGAAGTCTCTGTCATCTGTGGTGGTTGTCTTTGAACAGCCTTCTTTTTTCTGCAATTGAAGGCATATATTATACAACTTTGATAGAGAGAATGCACTAACTCTATCCAACTTGTGTCCCAGCTTAATACAAAACCTATATGTACTCCCTATACAAATCAGGATGGACGCCAATTTCAACGAAGTGTGTTCATTATTGTGAAGAACGTAAAAAAAAAAACTTGGAATGGTATCGAAGATACAGACCTTCTCGGGGTACCTTTCCCACCTGTTCGGACTGAACCAGCTATCTTCATTAGCATTTCGACATTCATCTGTCAATGAAAAATATAAGGAGTTCATTAAAACTGCCAAGAATTTCATAATGTCCCAAATACAGCTTTAAATATAATTCGTAAGGCAAAACTATGTTCAGGGAGAGCTTAGCAACCAGTCAGCAACAAACAGCATGAACAAAACCCAAAAAACTTGCAAGCAAGTGGTATCTCCAAAAGTGAGAATTAGTTCTAATTGTCCCACATGAGCCATAGGGCACTAACATAAGCATAAATTTCTCCCGCAGATGTTTTTCTCTGGGGAAATCTCATGTGACAGGTTACTAAAACCAAAATCATTGCAACCGTAATCAGAAAATACTGAAGTAACAAGTTACTAAAACCAAAATCAACTGTATTCAAAAAATACTGAAGTAACAGGGACATGAATGGCAAATTCTTTTATTCAAGAAAATAAATTCCCGTTAATAAAGAGGGAAACAAAAAATTGAGGCAGTTTTGATTGATGTGAGGCCATGTATATGTTCCTTGAGGCAAGGGATAACCATCTGTGGTGGTGCGCAACCGTGGGTGGCGCCGAAAGTAGGATTGCGGTGAAGGGTTGTATACAGCTGTTTGGTATTTTGGGCTTAAATGTGGTTGTTTTCGAAGAGATTGGCACTGTGGAGGAGGATGTTGGGGAGAGTCAGGCGAGGCTGGTGGTGGTGGAGTCCGACGGGTGTTGTGGTTGGAAGGTGGTGTTCTGTGGATCTATAGGTGGCAGCTTGGTGGGATAGTGAAAGTGGTGGTAGTGGAAAATTTAGGACTTATCTGTAATGTTTTAAAAAATTTAGGACTATGATTGTAATTAATTATTTATTTTTCTTTTCTTTTCGTTTTGTTTTATATGAGTAGAAGGGTAAAATCGTCATTTTATTAAAAAATATGAAAATGACCTTTTGCGCAATAAAAGGTAAAAGGTAAGTGTGGGCCAAAAAATGAAAGGTAGAGACATTTTACACAATAACATTAAAAGATAGGGACTTTTTGTTCTAATTACCCTTGTCAAAAACTTAGAAAAATTAAAATATCAAACAAAGAAAAAGAAATCCTACTCGCAAGTTCAAATAACTCCTACTATTGCATGTCAGTTTATTATGCTCATGTTGAAAAGGTTGTGCTTATTGAAGTTGAAGTTGTTATTTATCGTTGTATTCTAAGTCTCTATTTGGTAGCAATTTTTCAACCAAAAAAAATCAAATTTTGACAGATATTTTACCATTTCAACTGTCATTTTTGATTTCTCCACTCACAAGTAGGACTTACTTTTTCTTTTAAGGTCAAAAAATCAATTCTCAAAATCACTACTGAACCGACCTTAAATCTATTTTCGTCCCTGGCACAGTTGAGACTTGAACCAGAGACCTCGCCCATGAAGTAAATTATTGCATTTACGGTCCAACCAATTGAAAGAGAGTCAATAGATTTCTCTCTGGAAGCAATTCATCCTTCCTGAATGTTTTGGTAAAAAAATTAAATTGAATAATGTTACGAGCTAAAGTACCCGACAATATGGATCAAGCACAAACCAATTCCACTATTAGATCAAGTTGAATGCTCTTTTACAAGAACCATCTATTAAAAAAACCTATCAAAAATCCTAAATAGCGATCATTATTCACCAGTACTGTTTAAAAAGTTAAATCAAAGAAAAATGAATTAAAAGTAATTTTTTAAAATTTGTTTACGACAAGGAGAAATTGAAAGACCGAAAGGGCAATACCGGATCGCCGATGATGAGTTCGGACTCGTTCCAACGGTCTAACCGTAAATCCCTCGTATCC